GAGACAGGGTTTCTCTGTATAGCTTTGCGCCTTTCCTGGATCTTGCTCTATAGACCAGGCTGGCCTCGAACTCACAAAGATCCGCCTGGCTCTGCCTCCCGAGTGCTGGGATTAAAGGCATGCGCCACCACCGCCTGGCCATACCTAACAATTTTAAGACATCTTAAGAAAGCTTATGGAATTCCATTTAGGTGTAGTGCTACTGAGGATGACGTCTCATTCACCCCAGGCACTAAATGCTCCACCACTGAGTTACATTCTTAGCTCTGAGGTTCCACATTATTATAAGGGTCAAAAGCCAAAGGTCATTGTGCTATGGGGGAGCAGCTGAATCCAGAAGTGAGAAAGAGTTAATAATCTTTATACTGCCTCATCAAACCCTTACACTGTATTTTATTTTTTGAGAACAGACTAGTATCAAACTTAACTATGTAGCCGTGGCTGGCTTTGAACTCCTGATCCTCCAGCTACTTCTAAAGGCCTGGATTATAGACTTATGCCACTATGCTGGGCTTCCTTAGACCATCTTTCCAAGGTGGTGCGGTAGAAGTGAGGAAAGCGAGACGACTGAGTTTGTGGCCTTGTTCAGAATAACTGTGCAAGTTACCTGTCCTATTGCCTTCCAATCTTATTTCAAGGCATTGCTACTCTGATCTAAAAGAGCAGCCATGAAGGCCTGAAGGAGACGGTAGAATGGAGAAGGGAGTCCATTGGAAGTACTGAACAGGAGAGCTGTTGTGTAGGAAGGTGGGAGGCAGGTACTTGCACGCTGGGTGGATGGGGGATAGTAGTCAGTATAGTTCTGGATGCCTGGTGCTACAGGATGCTGAAATGATAATGTCTGCTTGGGGCTTCAGATCATTGGCTAGACCCCCTATGATAATACTGAGCAAAGGGAATGAGAAAATACCCAAGCACAGATATGTCAGACCATAGACCTGCAAGGCTTGCTGCAGGAATTTCCTGGCAGTGGATTCAGCGGAGGGTCTCTACATCATAGAAGGAGACATATTACATTACTGTAATAAAATACCATGCCCAGGGCAACTTACAGAAGAAAGAGCTTGCTGGGACTTACAGTTTCAGGGGGATAACATCCCATCATTGCAGGAAATTGAGGGAAGTGGTGGTAGGAACAGCTGAGAGTTTGCATCTCCAACTGCAGGCAGGAAGCAGAGAGAGAAAATTGGGAATGGTGCATGGCTTTGAAGCCTGAAAGCCTGGCCCCAGTGACGTATTTCCTCCAGCAAGGCCACACCTACACTTACCCACCACCAATGATGGACCAAATATTCAAACATCTGAGTCCAGAGGGTGGGTGGGGTGTTCTCATTCAAACCACCACAGGACTGTCCTAGGCTCACCTCTCACCAAAGCCCCCAATCTGATATTTAATCTATGTCAGACCAGCCTCTCCTCTTTGAATACAGGCGTTCCTTCTAGGTTTTGCTGTCTCTACAACCTGACACAGTCTGAGGGGACATTCAAGGTGCTTTTTTTTTTTTTTAATTAAAAATTATTAAGCTGGGCGGTGGTGGTGCACGCCTTTAATCCCAGCACTCGGGAGGCAGAGGCAGGCAGATGTCTGTGAGTTTGAGGCCAGCCTGGGCTACAGAGTGAGTTCCAGGAAAGGCACAAATCTACATGGAGAAACTTTATCTCAGAAAAAAAATTATTGTATTTTATTGGTATGGATATTTTGTCTGCATGTATGTATATGTACCACATGCATGTAGTGCCTGAGCAGGCCAGAAGAAAGTGTTAGAGAGCCTGGGACTGGAGTTATAGACTGTTGTAAACTGCCACGTGAGTGCTGGGAATTGAACTACGGTCCTCAGGAAGAGCAGCCAATTATCTTCAACCACTGAGCATCTCCCTAGCCCCAAGCATTCTTGGTATTGTTCTAGGTCATGGAATACTTGGGACTATGTCAGAATCAAGTGTTTAGCTCTGCTGTGAGAAACTTGACAAAGATGTGTGGTCATTGCTGAGTTGACCTCTACAGAGAACTCTTTTTTTTTTTTTTTTTTTTCCAGAACTGAGGACCGAACCCAGGGCCTTGAGCTTGCTAGGCAAGCACTCTACCACTGGGCTAAATCCCCAACCCCTACAGAGAACTCTTATGGAATTCTGAGACTGCCATGGCAGAACCATGGCATCCTGTGATGCTGAGAAAAGTCTGAGTGTGGGGAGGCAGGGAGGGTATTTGCATTTGCCTTCTGCTTTGAGGCAGAGACCCGAGTATTATAGTGATTACCTTTAATGGGAATAAAAAGCTGTTCATAACACGCTCCCCCTCCCTCCCACTGAATAGTGGAGCTGGGCCTTTATAGGTAAGAGATGAGTAAGTATGAGGAGGCTGGGAAAAGGCAGGGGGTGGGTAGTAGATAGGAGAAGGGCAGGCTTTAAAAGCAAATGAAAAGAATTAAGAGAGACAGAGAAAGAGCCACAGCAAAGGTTCATCATATCTGCAGGAACAATGAGAATTTACCTTAGGAAAGGGCAGGAGGTGTCAGCTGATACCTAACATTGTCTGACTGTGAAAGGAGTAACCTTTCTAGGGAGCAAGGGAGTTGACACAGGGAAGAGCAGGCAAGATGTTGCTCTTTGCGGGCCTACAGAGAATGCCACTTTTATTAAAATAAGAAAGGTCGGAAGAGACAGGTGCTGAAAGTGGGCGGAGTTCTAGCGGAGTCGGTCATGGGTTCCAAGGAAGAGGTGCCTCCCTCCATGCTGGCTGCTGGAGCCTTTTGTAAACTGCCTGTAGTGAGACCTGGCTGGGTACCACTCAGTGAGCTGCGGTCCTCTGCACCAGCCTCCTCATGATGGATAGCCAGCCACGTTCCTTTCAAGTTTAATGGGAACACACGGTGTTAAATCTCTTTGGGCTCCGTGTGAAGGAGCTTGGGTAAGTTATAAATATGCAGGTTGGATGATGAATTCAAAACGATCAGAAATCCGTACGGTATGGTTTTCTCTGTAGAAGGCTGTGCAGTTCTGATCAGTGGCCAAGGACACTAGTTTCCAGGATAATGTGGGCATACTTCATAGTTTTTCCTTTGTTAGCTATTAAAAGTCATTACTTAGTGTCTAGTTTGCCTTCTAATGCTGTGATGAATACCACGACCAAGAGCAACTTGGGGAGAAAGGGGCATATATCAGTTTACGGTTTAGTGTCCATCATGAAGGAATGTCGGGGCAGGAACCCAGAGGCAGGACCTGAAGCAGAGGCCATGGAACAGTGCCTCTAACTGGCTTACCCTCTAGTCTCATGTTCAGCTACTTTTCTTATAACTTTCAGGACTACCTTCCCATGGATGACATCACCCAAAATGGTGGGTGCTGGGTGGTCTCCCATCAATCACTAATCAAAAAAGCACCCCACAGTCCTGACTCTAGGCTAATCTTTTGAAGAAATTTTCTCAGCTGAGGTTCCCTCTTCCTAGATGACTCTAGTATGTATTGAGTTGACAAAAATTAGCCAGCCAGTACATTTGGAGTTCCTTTTCTAAGAAAGGTTGCTGTAATCCTGAGTCCCCTGCAACTTTATAATTCTTTGATTATTCCTAAAAACAAGCAGGACATATTAAAGGTTTTTATTGTTGACTCTGTGGGTTGAACTGTTTCCTGCTGTAGTTGTATCTTAAATATCCCCCCAAAGGCACATATACTAAAACCTTGGTTCCCAGAGTGGTGGTATTATTGAGAAGTATTAGAACTTTCAATAGTGGAGGCTTCACTTTTGGTCCTTAGGACCAAAAAAAGGACCTTAGGTCATAAAGGGAGTGCCATTGAAGGAGGTTATAGACTTCCAGCATCTTCTGTGGGAGTGTGTGTGTTCAGGTGTGTGTTTATATGTGTGGATGGTATGCATGCACATACATGTGGTAGGTGGAGGTCAATGTTGGATGTTGAGTGTTTTCCTCTCCAACTTGTTTAAACAATGTTTTGACATTTATTTATTTACTCATATGTGTGTTTGCATGGGTTCCATGGTGTGTGTGTGTGTGTGTAGAGGTCAGAGGACAGCTTTGAGAGTTGACTTTCTCCTTCCATCACGTGGGGCAATGACGCTGGTCATTTTTTTTTAACCCATCTTTTATACACTCAATCATTTTTCTGACCTTCCACTTATTTATTTATCTTTTTTTTTTATTTTTGGAGACAGGGTTTCTCTATATAACAATCCTGGCTGTCCTGGAACTCGCCTTGTAGACCAGGCTGGCATGGAACTCGAAGAGATCCACCTGCCTTTGCCTCCCAAGTGCTGGCCAAGTGTGCCACCACCACCTGGCTGTCCACTTTATTTTTTTTTTGAGACAGAGTCTCTCACTGAATTTGGAGCTCATCAGTTGTGCAGATTGCCTGGACACTGACCCCCCGAGATCCTCCTGTCTCTGCCTCTCAAATGCTGGGGTTAGAGGTGTGTACAAGTATGTCTGGCTTTTTATGTGGGGATGGGGATCCCAACTCCCTCCCTCAAGCTTTTACTAAACCATCTCTCCAGCCCACAGCACCTCTTATTCCTCTGTTTTTTATGCCTGGACCACATGCTCACAAAATGATCAACCATCTTTCTGCAGGCATAACTGGTTACGAACTGAAACCTCTAAACTGTGAGTCAAAACAATGCTTTTCTCTTTAGAAACTAGCTTGTGTTACACTCTGGATCTGAAAGGTCACCAGAAACTGGTGGTCCCCATTGTAGCAGAGTTCAGAAGTGAAACCTTTGGAAGGTGATTGGATCATGAGGGCTTTAACTTTATCAGCGGATCAATCCACGGATGAATTCATACTCTGATGGCATCATCGGGAGGTGTCAGAGACTCCAGGAGATCCAGCCTAGTGGGAGAAGTGCTTCATCGAAATCTGGCCCTGGAAGGTATATCATATCCTTGGTTACTAATGTGTTCCCTTTCTTTGCTTCCTGGATGCCATGAGGTGAGCAGCCTCTTCTTCCATACTCTCCTACCACTGTGATATTCTTTTTCAAATCCCAAAGCAATGGAACTGGCTAATCTTGGATTAAGACCTCTGAAACAGTGAGCCCAAATAGATCTTTCCCCCTTACCATTTTTTTTTTTGTATCAGGTATTTTATTATAATGAAGGAAAACTAATCCAATTACTTGAGTATTTGTCATTATGACAAGCTAACTGAAGTGTCCCTGTATCTATTTCCCAATGTGACCTCATTTGGAAACAGAGTCGTTGCCAATGCAATTAGATGTAGTCATACTGAAGCAGGGTGGGTCCTAACATCATATTATTGGTACTTGTGTATAAAGTTAATGTTTGGGACACATATGTGCACAAGAAGAATGTCATGGGAATGTGAAGAGGACAAGAAATGATGCCCAGAGGGCACCTTTTCCCAGGCCCTTCAGAGGAGCCAGACTATTTATCTTCTTAGACTTTTAGCCTCCAGGTCTATGAGATAGTTCTTCTGTGGTTGAAGTTGCCCAGTATGTGGTACTTTGTCATGACAGTCCTGGCAAATGAAAAGTAACCATTGTAAGTAGAGATAACAGACGTGTGGACATTGCAAAGGTAATTAAAAGTCCAGAGTTTGCAAAAGCCTCTTTCATCTTTGTCAGAAACGGTTGGCTTCAGAATGTCCCTTCACTCTTGCTTTTTAATTATGTCTCCATCCCCAATAACCTAGCATATCTCATTCAGAATTATTCAAGGTCGTTGTATTATGTATTACATAATGGAATATGTTCTTTGTCCATATCGTATTTTCCCCTTGTCTTGGTTTACTAGCTTTGAATCTGGCTTCTGTGACTTGAGTTGGACAGTGGAGCACAGCTGGCCATGACGAACATGCAGCATGCAGAACCTTTGAATGTTGTGGTTGTAAGTGCATTCACCTTGCTCTCTCCTACGGACACAAACAGAAGGCATGCTTCATCTTTGAGCACCTCTGTCAACTTGGGTCCCCGTGTAAGATGACTTGTAAAGCCTACCCTAGCAGAACTGGAGAAATATGGGTTAATAATAGTAGTGGTCCATTTATTATTACAATAGAATAAATAGTTTTTGCTGGAGTATCAGAGTCTGTGGCAGGCATTGTTTCACACCTCTATCTATCCTGAGGGAATGGAATTAGAGAGCTTAAATAAAGTTTGTTTTTTCCCTGAGCTAGAAGTAGCAGAGTTGGGAAATGAACCTGTTGACTCTAAAATCAGTGTTCTTCCCCTTGTCATGATGCCACCTGTCACCAGCCATTTCTTTCTTTCTTTCTTTTTAAAGATTTATTTATTTATTTATTATATATAGTGTTTTGCCTGCATGCTTGCCTGAAGGCCAGAAGAGGGCACCAGATCTCATTACAGATGGTTGTGAGCCACCATATAGTTGCTGGGAATTGAACTCAGAACCTCTGGAAGAACAGCCAGTAGTGCTCTTAACCTCTGAGCCATCTCTCCTGCCTGTCACCAGCCCTTTCTGTTCTTCTGTTTATAGCTGAGTAATCACCACTATGCTCAATTATGCTCCTCTGGTTTTTGTCAAAAGTGGGCCCCTTGATGCCATACTAGTAGTATCCAGAGCTGGAGTGGAGTTCCTGGGGGGATCTAGATACAGCTTCCTTAGGGTGTCCTTCCACTGGTTCTCAAACAACCTCTTCTGTAGCTAGAGTTTTCCTGCCTTGCCCACAGTCAGGACAAATCTCTCTCACCTGCCAGTCCCACAGCCACTCAGACCTAACCAAGTAGACACAGAGACTTATATTGCTTACAAACTGTATGACCGTGGCAGGCTTCTTGCTAACTGTTCTTATAGCTTAAATTAATCCATTTCCATAAATCTATACCCTGCCATGTGGCTCGTGGCTCACCGGTGTCTTCACATGCTGCTTGTCCTGGCGGCAGCTGGCAGTGACTCCTTCTGCCTTCCTGTTCTTTCTTTTCTTCTCTCTGTTAGTCCTGCCTATACTTCCTGCCTAGCCACTGGCCAATCAGTGTTTTATTTATTGACCAATCAGAGCAACACATTTGCCATACAGAACATCCCACAGCATTCTTCCTTCCTGTAGTTCTTTCAAACCTTCCCATTCTCCTCACATCATCTACCTGTCATCTGCAGTCTCAGCCAATGAGCTGGTGTTTTCCCTAAGAGTGATCCTGACACCATGGCAGGTGTGAAAATCACCCAGAGGACAGTTCTGTTAAACACAGTGCTGGACTTTACTATACTCAGCAGATCTGATGAGTGGGATGGTGCCGTGGACCAAGTCTTGAGTGAGTTCTCTGGCATTGCTGATGATACTCTTCCAGGGCCAGCACTTGGAGGTCCTGCCCCAGAAAGAATGGCATCTATTGAAAGGCAATGTCCGCTCAAATTTGTTTCTGCTACTTTTTTTTGCATGCTCCCACTGACATTTTCCTTTCTTCTTGTAAGAGAAGAAGCTTAGTTGCTACTACTTGGGGTCTGGGTCTCACTTCTGTTTACCGCTGCAGAAGTGACCAAATCATTTTTCATTCCTCCCATTTTCAACCTGTTTCTCCCTTATTGTATTTCCCATCTGAGTATGCACATAGCCCCCAAGTCTTTCCCATTTTGTATGTAGAACAACAAATAGATAACTCTTCCTTGATAACACACCTTCTGGATGTTTCTTGAACATTTAAGACTGTTTCTTACAAGAATTGGTATACCCTGCCAGGCAGCAGTGGCACACACCTTTAATCCCAGCACTTGGGAGGCAGAACCAGGCAGACTTCTGTGAGTTTGAGGCCAGCCTGGTCTACACAGAGTGAGATCCAGGACAGGCACCAAAAACTACACAGAGAAACTCTGTCTGGGGGGGGGGGAGACTTGGGATAATGCTTTTGTACACTGGTGTAATAAAACACTGATTGGCCAGTAGCAAGGCAGGAGTTATAGGTGGGATAAGCAGACAAGGAGAATTCTGGGAAGAGGAAGGCTGAGTCAGGAGATGCCAGCCTGCTGTCCAGGGAGCAGCATGTAATGGCACACAGATAAAGCCACAGAAAATGTGGCGACATATAGATTAACAGAAATGGGCTGAGTTTAAGTGTAAGAGCTAGTCAGTAGTAAGCCTGAGCTAATGGCTGAGCAGTTTTAATTAATAAAAGCCTCTGTGTGTTTGTCTGAGCAGCTGTGGACTAGGCAGGACACAGAAAAACTTCTGACTACACCTTATATTTTTATTATTATTATTTTTTTACTATTCATGGTGGGAGCCTTAGAGGGAATCAGCTCTAAAATTCCTGTTTCCTATTGTCTCAGTCAGACACTAGCATGGATACTACTGTGAAGGAATTTGCAGGTGGAATTGAGGCAATTAACCATCAGAATTTAACACAGGGAGATTGTGTTGAATTATTTGACTAGTTCATCATGATCAATTGAACCCTTAAAAAAACCAGAAAAAGGCAATAACAGAAGTGAATCAGAAAAGACTGGACGTGGGCTCAGGATAAAGCTTAGTGGTAGAATGCCTTTCATGTGTGAAAATATGGGTTTGATCCCAGCACTGAAAGACCAAAACAGCTAATGTGCCATTCCAGGACATGAAGGAGCTAGAGTTTGCATGTAGCTTCTAGATGCTCAACAACCCCTGAATGACAGTCAGCAAGGAGATAGGGATCTGTTCCCATCAACCACATGGAATAGAATTCAGTGAACAGCTGGGTAAACAGGATGCTTCCATGGACTGTCTAGGTGTGAGCCTGGAGGGACTAAAGCAGGTGCTGGTTTTCTGAACTACAGAACTGTAGGACATCCAGCGTGTGCTGTTCTAAGCCTGAAAGTTTGTAGTGATGTGTTGGGTGAACAGCAGCAAGCCACTAGCCTGCTTCCTTTGACCAGTTGCTTACTGATCGCTTTGAGCGTTCCCCTCCATTGCTACTGAAAACTACTAGGCTTATAGATGTAGCTAGTCTGAGTCAATGTTCTATTGCTATGAAGAGACACCACGACTATGGCACCTCTTACAAAGGAAAACATTTAATTGGGGCTTGTTTACAATTTCAGAGGTTTAGTTCATTGTCCTCACAGCAGGAAGTATGGTGGTGTGCAGGCAGACACGATACTGGAGAAAGAGCTGAGTGTCCTACATCTGGATCTGTAGGCCCCAGAAAGAGAGAAACACTGGGCCTGGCTTGGGCTTCTGAAACCCCAAAGTCCTTCCTTCCCCCAGTGACACACTTACCTACTCCAACAAGGCCACACCTCCTAATCCTTCAAAATAGTGCCATTCCCCAAGCATTCAAATATAAGAGCCTCTGGGGGCCATTCTTATTCAAACCACCACATATCTGTTATTATTAATTGTTATTAATGTGATGCTGGGGATTGAACCGGCCCCTCACATGATAGGAAATGCTGTAGCATGGAGCTACATCCCAGCTGTCAGCCTTCATTACAGTTTGGAGTCAAATAAAATGGCTACCATTCCTGCCTAGCCAACCTCTGTCCCCTTCGATGCGACTTCCTACAACTTTTGTCTCCTTTGAGTTCCATGATGTCATGCTCTGCTGTTCCCCGTCACTCTTCTTGTCCCTTTTCTTTTTGTCACTGAGATTTCTGCCACCCCCAGTCTCCTATCTTCTCTTTCATATATCGTTCCCTTCTTCACTGAACTTGTTTTTTAAAAAAAAACACCTGAAACTATCTTTATTCATTCCTTAAGAATTTCTTACAAGGTATTTTGATCATAATCACCCCAAGTCCTCCCCCTAACTCCTCCTAGGTCCACTCCCCCTCCATACTCCCCTTCAGCTTTGTGTCTGTCCTCTTCCTTGTGATTCTTCTTATTACATAGAGGAAGTTACCTTGCAGGAAAATTCCCTCCGCATCCTTAGAGTCTCTGCTGGGGTTCTGATGAATTCAATGGACAAAAGACGTGAAGAAGAGATGAAGCACATAATTACGAATTACACAACTATTTTCTGTGTGTTGGGGGATGCCATGGTGGGCTTGTGGAGGTTAGAGGACAACCTGCAGGAATCTGTTCTCTTCTTCTATCATGTTTGTCCAAGAGATGGAAACCATCACACTGGACCACATATCATTTTAAAAAATAATTTCTTTATTATATTTGTGTGTGTGTGTATATGTGTGTACACATATGCATGCCAGCCACAGTGTGTGTGTGTGAGTCAGAAGACAACTTTTAAGAGTTCTCTCCTTTCACCATGTGGATCCAGGGGTCAAAATCAGGGCATCAGGCTTGGCAGCAAGCACCTTTGCCTACTGGGTGTCTCACGGGCCCCACTTATAAGTTTCATTAATATTTATGTTCACAGGAGTTTGCAGAAAAGAAGCATATCTCAGAGTGGTTAGACTTGGAGGCTTATATGCCATTTTTAATTGCTTAATTTTATATACCTTTTAAATTATTTATTTGTTTAGTTTTTAATATACAATTTTTTTTAAAGGATAGGCTTTGGCTTTGAAGGACAATAAGTTGTAGAGAAGCAAGTAGAAAACATATTGAAGAAACTGAAGGAAGATAAGGGTTATCATAGCAGGTTGAATCACATAGCCTTACCTTGATGCCAACTCTCCATCTATGATCATATGAAGGAAATGCATGTCCAGCTTTTTATATGGAAAAGGAGGAGCAAGAAATTCTTCCTGTCTTGGTGATCTTCTGTTGTCCCTGCTAAAATAATCCTTTTGTCAGAATGGCACATATCAGATGACCCCTACAGACCCCTTTGAGACTTGATCCGTTGTTCCTATATCTGTTGTGTTCTCTAGTTTAACCCACAGATTTATTATTATTATTATTATTATTATTATTATTATTATTATTATTTTAACAGAAACTCCTTATATATTCTGGGCTGGCTTGGAACTTGTGATCCTGCCTCCTCAGTGGCCCGGGTAAGTAGCTGATGACACGGGCATTACTACCTCACCACAGTGAAGACATTCTTCCCCCCGACCTTCACCACCAAATTAGCTTTTGCTGCTGCCTTTGTGAACACTGTCCACCTTACATTATTTAAGATTATAAATGAACAACACTAAACCTCAAATAACATCTGTAGATGTAACTGTCTTATTAAATAAGAAACACAGAGCCAAATGCAGAGTTAAAAGCCCAAGAGGTCAGAGCAGTAAGCTAAGAGCTGAGACTTAAAACCTCCTTCTTACACTTCCTGCCGCTGTTGTCCTTCCCCTCAGCGAGAGACCTACTTCCTGTGTATCTGTCTTTTTATTGACTTTCTGTTCTGCCTTCTCATTGGTTATAAACCCAACCACATGACCTCCTCATCACTGCCTGTCTGTATAGACCTCCAGGTCTTATATTGTTGGTATTGAGATTAAAGACATGTGTCTCCATGCTGGCTGTATCCTTGAACACACAGGACATCTGCCTGTCATGTAATCAGGATTAAAGGCATGCACCAACACCGCCTGGCTTCTGCTATGGCTTGCTATTAGCTCTGACCCCCAGGAAACTTTATTAACATACAAATAAAATCACATTTCAGTACAAATAAAATATCACCATAAACATCAAGTTCAGATAGATGTTCTACTCTCACATGCATGAAATTCTGAGCTAGGCAAACAAAACCGGGTGGGTGGCCTCCCGGTTACCAAGCATGCAGGCTACTTCTACCATCCTCTGCAACACCGTCATGCACAGTACCTGTCCTCAGTTCACCTTGTGGTTTACGGCAGCTTCCAGGCATTCTGCCTGTGTTCTGGATTCCAGGCAGCAGAACTGAGGACATGAGACTGGTCAGCTGGTGCTGCCTGGGATATGAACATTCCTGGAAGATGTTCTTATTCTCGTCCCAAGGCAGAAGGTGGGAGGGAGGGGGGGGATGAACAATGCATTATTGACAATCTGCAACTGCCACAACCACCACATCTCTCCTTGACCCCTGAGTCAGACACCGGGGGTCATCCTCAGACCTGTTTTCTCACTCTCCATACCTTTCTCCCTCTCGTTCAAAATCTCCCTCATTGAACCACAATGTATGAAAATGATATTTAAACATTCACTGAGAGTTTACAATGTGTCACTGTACCAGATACTTTGCCTGCATCTTTCTCATTTTCAACTCACTACAACTCTTGGATGGGTACTGCTTTGTTTTTGTGGTTGTCATGACCCTGGGTATTTAACCCAGGTCCTTGTATATATGGGGTGAGCGCTGTACCACTGGGCTATACCCCACCCCAAAGGTACTGTTATTAAAGCCATGTGCCAAATTATAAAATCATATCTTAGGAGTTTGAGATCAGCAAAGGGGCAGGGTGCTGTGGTTTGAATAGGAAATGTCACCATGGACTCAGCTACTGATGACTTGTTGGCCAGCTGATAGGCTTTTGTGAAGTATTTGGTTCCTGAGGGCTCTGACCTAGTCCACAGGCTAATTGTTTGGTGGATCCATAATATAATGACATTATGGGAATGTGATGAAATAGAGGTGGCGGATCCTAGTTGGAGGAGGTGGGTTGATGGGAGAGTGTTCTTGAAGGCTGTATCTTGTCCTGGCTCTTTCCCGTTTCTTTTCTGCCTCTTGTCTGCTGTGACATGAGCTGTTCTGTTCCACCATGCCTTCCCTGTCGCGGTGGACAGAAGCCCTGGAAACTGGGATCCAATAAGCCCTTCTTCCCTCGTGGTTTACATCAGGTGTTTTGATCATAGTGACACATGTGACCACTACAGAGAGCTCCCTCGAATTATCAATCTTTCTACTCTGCCCTTGTGCCTCAGGTCACCTTCGTATAGAAAGACACTGTAGAACCATCAGGAAGGGGTTAGCAGATCCCATTCCCAAAACCTGCTTGCTTTCAGACACGGCTTCCTTGAGGCCAACCAAGTCTTCAGTGAGTGGTCACGAAGCGATCTTTGTCAGTTGCAAATCTGATCTTGCTTTTCCTTTGATTCACAACTTTAATGGTATTCTGTATCTTCCAAAAATACATCTGAAGCCTCTAACTGTTCTGTACCCCCAGCCCTTGAGCCCTTGACAGTTTCCTAGAAACAAGAGCTACCGAAACCACACTCTTATGCTGAATTTCCAGGCATGCAGTACGCTGTCTCCAGGTTGCAGGGTTCAGCATTCCCTCCGCCTGGAAGGCTTTCTCCATTTCCCCACCCGTTTCATCTGGACTCAGTTCTTACATGACTTCTTCCAAGAAATACTTCGCAACACCTTCAGTCAGTTTAGACTAATTTCTCTCCCTCTGTGCTCTACTGGCAACCTGTACAGACTTCTAAACTCAATGGCAGTAAACACACTGCTTCATTATCTTTGTTTCTCTGCCCGTTTTCCTCGGTAGCCTCAAGCTCCTGGAGGGAATGGACCAAGTCTTAATTGTCTTTGCATGTGTCTAAGACCGAATACAGCGCTTGGCTCTTAAGATGTTTCTCGAGTTAGTGATGCATGTCCAGAACCAAGTGAATTCTGGTAAGTATCAATTTTGTGATGATTAAATCACATTTGCAAGAACGGTTCTAAAATTTTAAGAAATGTAGGAATGGAACATAAAGTCAGGTCTTTATCGTAAGATCAATACCCACATATGCCTCTGGCGTACTTGAGGGGGAAGAGAGATGGTTTAATTTTACAAGTGCTGTAAGTATAAAGCAGGATAACGTGGAGGAGGTGGCTTTAGTGCTTTCAACATATATGAAAAGCTCACACCCAGTTCTTCCTCTCTACCTTCTTCTTTCTTCTCTTTGTTCCCTTTCTCCTTTTTTTCCCCTCCTTTTCCATCTAAGCCATGATGGTGGGACAGAGAATTTCATATATAAAGATGGGAGTTGGAATCTTTGTCCTGTCAATGATGATAGGTTTTTAAATTGTACAAGTTGTTTTTATTTGATCCCCGAGTGACATTTCTTTCGTTCAACCTCAGCCCTTCACATAGTGCTGGGCATGGTTTATTCACTCAAGAAGTATCCATGGGCCCCTGTGGTTTCTTTTTCTTTTCTTCTCTTGTTTTTGGTTTCGAAAGGTCTGGCAGAAAGAAAGCTCTGTGATGGACAGGACAGACAAGTTCCGGGGTGAGACTGCAGCTGCTGACCTGGATGGTCCAGACTAGCTTCAGCCATCTGCTTGGCCAGCCCTTGATTGGCTGGACACAGAAAGGAATGAAAACCAATCAAGAAAGATGACCTTTATCAGAAGGAAACAATTTGCAAGCAGCTGCCAGGACCCGGAGACCCGGAGAAGAGGAGCAGGTTCGAAAGACTTTTATGTCAGATTCCCATCACACTCCTTAATGTCAATAAGAAAGAAATCAAGCCCGTCTTTTGTTGTGAGGCTAATGAGGCCTTTGCTGCTTTCACTAAATTTCTCTCTTTGATTTCCCTCTTTGCCTTTTCTGTTTTCTTTTATTTAGTGTCCCTCTTGGCAGGAGCTCTTTTCACTAATTTCAAACAAGGGGAAGAAGAGAGAGAAGAGGAAAGTGAGAAAGTTTAAAAACCAAGAAAAACTGTAAAAATGAGTTCTTAGCCTTTCTCTGTAGTGGTATGCTTTGATCCTTCCAAATTCAAGTCCAAGGAAATGCTCTTACAGACTGATTGGCCTTGAGCGATGGGGGAATGGGGTAGCCTTATCCTGTGGGTCAACATTCATGTCAAGGGAGGGCTGATTCCTTCCTTCTTGCTGTACCTTTCTAATCAATGTGAAGAATGTTTGAATGTGTTTGAATGGAAGATTGGTAAGGCTTCTTTTTGTGTTCTCTCTCTCTCTCTCTCTCTCTCTCTCTCTCTCTCTCTCTCTCTCTCCCTCTCCCTCCCTCTCCTCCCCTTCTCTCTCTGTGTGTATGTGTGTGTTTGTGTCTTTTGTAACTAGGGGGGGAATGTGTTGAACCTGGGTCTTTATATATAATAAGCAAGCTCTCTACCACTGAGCCATACCTGTAGGTCATATAATTTACTTCTAAGTGGAAAATTATATTATAGATTGTAGTAGGTAGAAATTCCAGCTATGATCTGGAAGTTTCAACCCCCATTGAGGCTTTGGTAACTGTCATGCCTACAAGGCGGGGCTGAGAGAGGACCCTAAAGACCTGGATCCAGATGTGCTGGCTCTCTTGGTTGCTGGACCCTGGACGCTGGAGGTAGACTGAGCAGAGTTCTCCAGAGAACACCGCCGGAATGTGCTACACCTTTCCCAGACCCTGTTACCTATCTCTTCATTTGTGAGTTACCCCACAAAATAAACCTCCCTTTTAACTACATGGAGCTGCCTTAATAATTTCACCAATAGTAGATAACACGAAATCCATTAAGGAAAACCAAAAACAAAACCACAAATTAAGTACATATAGGAGAAATAGAAAAAAACCCCAGGGGGAACCTGGCATTAGGTTCAGACATTAGGAATCTGTTTCTGTCTATCTCAATGCCAGCTATGTCCTTAGGCTGCATGTGTGACCTGCCACAACTGTAGTGTAACAACTGCCTATATCTAATTTCCATAGAAACAAGTCAAAACTTAAAATAGCTATTGTTTCTGGATCTTCTATATAAATCTTGGACTCAACTAGAACTGGAACAATGGATTGTTACTGAACTAGTCATGGTTCTAGTATTCCTTCATCCAGTGAGTCACTGTGAACATATAAGCTAATTCTAGCCAGTTAACCAACTTCATTAGTAATCAATCAATAGATTGATTGATCGATCAATCTTTCTTTTTCTATTCCTTCCCTCTCTCCCCTTCCTTACCTCTCTCTTTCATCTTTCTTCCTTGCTCCCCCTACACCCAGTTTCCCCTGTCCCATTTATGGAAGAGTTTATCTAGCTTTGTATGTTTTTGAAACCTTTGTTAGTGGTCATATATGCACAATGTACTTTTAGGTTCTCTATTCTGTAGCATTGATCTAGGTCTGTCTTTGGGTAATACTACACTGTTTTAATAGTTATAGTTTTGCAATTATTTTTGGAACCAGGAAGTTTGATGTTTCCAGGATGTGCTTTATGTTCCCTTATGAATGTTAAACTTTTCAGTTTCTCTAAAAAAAAAGGTCAATATTAATTCATTTATTTCCCATGTAATAATGAGAGGAGAGAGGAGAGAGGAGAGAGGAGAGAGGAGAG